TGATTCATATCTTCGTGGTCGATCACATTGTGTCCGTGTTAATGACACTCTATCCGATTGGTCGGGTATCACTACGGGTGTACCTCAGGGTGGCGTTCTTTTCCCCCTTTTATTTTCCATATTTATTAACTCTATTACGAGTGTTATTACATCTAATTACCATCTCTACGCGGATGACTTACAGCTTTATCGTCATTTTCTGGTGGGTGATACAAATAATGCAATTGCAGCTATGAATGCGGATCTAGGCCGCATCTGTGAATGGTCTGCATCCTTCGGACTATTAGTTAATCCCACGAAATCTCAGGCCATCATAATAGGCAGTAGGCATTTGCGTAATAGATTAGAATTTACATCACTACCTTTTGTTTGTTTTAATGGCGTTCCTATACCCTTTGCCAATACTGTCAAAAACTTAGGCGTCATATTTGATCACCATTTAACATGGACCACGCATATCGCTGAAGTTAGTCGCAAGGTCTACTTTACTTTGCATTCGCTTAAATGTCTACAAAATTTCTTACCCCTTAAAGCTAAAATATCACTCGTGCTTACTCTTATCCTACCTCTCCTTGATTATGCGGATGCCTGTTATTTGGATGCTACAGAGGAGCTTCTTAATAAACTTGAGCGCTTGCAAAATCAGTGTATCCGTTTCATATTTGGGCTCAAGAAATTTGACCGTATATCTCAGTTTCGTAAGCAACTCAAGTGGCTTCCTATTCGACTTCGAAGGAACACTCGATTGTTATGTGTCCTCTATAACATTTTGCACAACCCTTCCTCTCCCACATACCTCAGAAGCCGATTTTCCTTCACCCATCCTCCGGACAAACCATGCAGAGCCCTTGTTAAAAATCTTCTTGACTTTCCCGTCTTTAATTCCGGTTATTACTCCCACTCCTTTTCAGTTCACGCTGTAAGATTATGGAACTCACTACCGTCAAATATAAGAAATTCCAAAACTTTGTTGATATTCAAGAAACGTCTTAGAGATAACTACTTTGCATCCTGTTAATTTATATATATATATATATATATATATATATATATATATATATATATATATATATATATATATATCATATGTAACTATCGTATCAATTATTATTATTATTTATTGATTTATTTTATTTTTATTTATTGTTTTATTTTATATAATTTCCGTAACATTGTGTATATTATTTATTTTTTGTAGTACTAATGTATGCACTAAGTTTGCAATTTAAATATAATTTCCTTTATGGGTCTACCTTTGTACGTAATTACTATAAGACTGCTTCTGTACCTTAATGTGTGTACATAAAATAAATAAAAAAAAAAATCGTTGTATAAATTTCATAAAGAGCTTAAAAAATATTTAATTGAAAAAGTTTCTATTCGTTGTCAGAGTTTTTCGATGAAAAATAATAATTGTTTAGTTTGAATATGTATACCTCTTTAATATCGTTGTAAATATTGCAAATGTTTATTAAACCTAAAAGTAATGTAGTAGTTTAAGTAAGTAGTTTAGCTCCGAACTACCGTATACGTGTTTAATATTTTGAAGAACCTACAACTTTTTTATACTTTTTATTATTAATACTGCACTATTATAACATAGAATATCGATAAAACTACTAGACAGTCGCACATATAAGTATTAGGTTATAATAAGATTTCCATTTGATTGTTAATTTCTCAGTATTCCCGTTAGATGCGGTAAAACTAATATCGCTAGTGTAATCTGGGGATATAAGTAATAAATCGACATGCATTTCATTAAGTTACGCCCCAATTTGTAGTGAGCCCATTCTCCATACAAAAAGAAATCGTCTTTTTCACGTATTTATGTACATAATATTGCAATAATTTAAATTAATATTTTAATAAATATTGAATGATTAATTGATTTAAGACTGATTTATTCAATTTTATTTTTATTTCATCAAAATTTGAGAATATTTTATAGTAAATATTAAAAGCATTGTTTTACTTTATAAATAATTGTCATGTCTTTTTATAACTAAGAATAGACTAAATTTTTTAGTTTTAGTATAACTAAGACTAAAAAATTTAGGGTGTCGGGCCTTTTTACCAAAATACCAGGCTAAGTTCGTTGGTCTGTCCGGCTTTTCGGTCTTAAGACCTGGCAACCCTAGCTGTGACACTGCATTTTTGGGCCAGAGCATCGTCAACTACGGCCGCAATTTTTAATCGTTGGAAATATTTACTTTAGTACAGTATATTTTAATTAATATAAAGTACGCACATTGTTATCATACCAGATAGTTAACTCATTATTGTTATTATGATTGTAGCTGAGCTTTCTTACCAGTCCAAATGGGGAAAAATAAATACTACCTGTATTCAATTTCAATGTGTTACTTAACGTAAAAAAAGAAATATCTTATCTCTGGAGAAAAAATAATGGAGAATAAAAATGTCTGTATGCTTGCAATATGGACTGGCCCAGATTATGCAGTAAAAGTACGAAAATCTACAAAGACGACAAGTTTTGGATTGTGAATATGTTAGCCAAGTTACAAGCATTTTATAAAAAGTGCGTACTTCATGAAATTATTGACTCGAGATAAACTCGGTCAATGACGTTGCGGCCAATATTTTTATAATAAAAAAATGGTAATTGACTATAAGTACCGATTAAAAAAATATAAGTTACAGTTGATTATATTATTTATTAAAACAGGTTGCAACAGTACTATTCATTTATTTATACCACTATGCTTACGTTAGTAGATATAATGGATTATTAACTAACATCGGTTAACAATCGATTACTGTGAAACAATTAAAATATTTATGTGTACTTATTTCAAAACTAAGGTTAATAAATAATGAAAAATATATCAAACAGATCATAATAAATTAATTAGATAACATAAAAAAGACACACAAAAAATTTCCCGTCCACTGAACTCCATCCTAAGAAAACTTGTATAATGGAAGATCAAGATCGTTTAGTCGCTATAATCACAGTACCGTAGTGCGAGCGATTGAAAAGATAAGAAATAAAGTGTTGCTCGCGTAGTTCATCGCCCGCTCGGGGCGTAAATACCTAAATTTTCGTAACACCGAAATGTAAGAGGGCTCCTAAATAAATAAAAAATATAGTATATAGAAAAGTAAGTGGTCAGAGCGGCAAGTACATCTATATATATATATATATATATATATATATATATATATATATATATATATACATTCCTTTTATTTATTTACAAATATAGTATTAAACTAATTCTAATACTAAAAACCTTAAAAATATATTTTATTTTGAGGTTTGTTTTTTTAATATATATATATATATATATATATATATATATATATATATATATATATAAACACAATCTATGAAAATCCACCGCTGAACATAGGCCATAGATTTTATTCGGGGGATTTTACCACAGTTGCCACGCTTGGCAGGCTAGAATATCTAACTCATACTCGTTATCTTTGTTAAAAATATTTTATTTTTATTAGTTATCAATTATATCATTAGCGACCAAACTTTATTGCGCGTGCATTATGATTAGTGATTTTGTAGCTCTCGATAGCTTATAATTAGCGTAATGTAAGTGTGTTTGTTACCACCACGGAACGCCGATGGGGTGTGAGTTAGTTATCAATCATAATCATTAGCAACTAAAGTTTATTGCGTGTGCATTATGATTGGTGATTTTGTAGCTCTCGATAGCTTATAGTTAGCGTAATATAGTGTGTTTGTTACCATGATGGAACGCCCACGAGGTAAGAATTAGTTTTAAGTTTTATTTTTCTTTTTTAGTAATCTAACCCACATGCCCGCCAGATTGACAAAAATAAATTATTATTTGCCGAGTTACGTATAATTTAGTGCGCCTTGCATACTTTTTTATCGTGGGTTCAAAAATTTGGTCGAAAAATATTCAATTACCGTATTTTTTAACTTCCCGCTAAGAAATTTGAAAATTTTCTAAAGTAGGGAAGTTATTGCTTTTACCTCGATTTTCGAAAGTCGAGTTTTCATCAGATGTCGACGTTTTGAGATCCCAGGAAGCTATTCTGACTAATTTCAGTGGACGTCCGTACGGATGTGTGTGTGTGTGTATATATATATATGTGTGTGTGTGTGCGTACGTGTGGGGTGTGTGTGTGTGTGTGTGTGTGTGTGTACACTTACACACACACACACACCCCTTCCATATTGATTGTAAGGTACTTTTGAAAGTCTTGATCGATTGAGATGCGGTTTGCGGAGTTCTAAAGATCTCAACGTGGAATAGATTTGGTGATAATACGAACTGATTCGGACAAGTAGATTTTGAGAAATCTCAAAAATAAAAATTTTGAAAAACTGTATATTTGAATAACTTTTAAACGGCTTTACCGATCGATTTCAAAAACTAATCAGCTTTTAATCTCAAAAAGTGATGTTGAAAGCTATTGGTTAATAAAAATCGGTTCATTCGTTCGTGAGATGTCGAAGGAGAAAGAATTGAAAAGGAAACGTTTTTTTAACATAACTTTGAAATTTCGCAACATAATTTGGTGAAATTTGGAGCGCTTAGCATTTGAAATTAGCGGGAAGTTCCAGGGATTCCAATTTTTTTACAGAAAATCATTGCTTATTAATGTATATAGAACAATTCTATTAACGAAATTATAAATTTTTTAATTCCGAGCAAAGTTCGGTCACCCAGCAACTATAATATTATACACTCATCATACAGCTTGCAAAGATGATTGGAATAATAAAGAATGAAAGAATATGTTTTGCTGTCGCGATCACGCTATGTTGACCGCACATTGACCCCGAGTAAGTTATAGTTGTAGTGCCGCCTGTCCTATATAGTATATTATCTATGGTTCCGCCGTTCCCCGTGCTACAGCGACGCGGCCTCCGTGCGGGACGCGAGGGTGAAATCTCAAACTTTTGGCTGAATAAACATTTTTAAGGATAATTCGCCATTACTAAGGATAAAAATTTAAATTATATTAATTATTGTCTATTTTTATAGGTGGAGTTTTGGTGTCTTTCGTAAAGGATATAAGCAAGGTTTTACAATAGAAGATCTGTTTCGTGTGCGTGATGGCGATCACTCAGGGCGACTCGGCGATCGCTTGGAAGAGGCGTGGCAAAAAGAACTTGATAACGCTCGTCGCAATGATGTAAAACCTTCACTTGTAAAAGCTATAATAAGGGCCTTTTGGCTTGAATATATGTTATGTGGGTTTTTGACTGGAATATTATTTATTATTGTATGGTGAGCCTGATTTAATTTAATTTGACTAAGAGTAGATTGTATTGTGATTTGTAGTTTGGGTGGCGTTTGATTCATGCTCGTTCATTAAAAAAAAATTATGTTATTTAAATAGTGATTATAAGCTAATATTTCAATATAGGTTTCATTATGTATTTGAACGCGTTAACGTTTTATAAAATTCAATAATCAATTTGTAATAAAAATTTCATTCTTATTTCAGGCCGTTAGTTCCTTTCACGCTGGCATTATTTATAGGATATTTTTCCGATGAAAAGACTCCAGAAAATTATAGAAATGCTCATATTCATACCTTTCTTATGATTGTCTTTAGTATTTCAACATGCCTTATGTTGAATCATGCACAATTAGCTCAAGGTTGCGTTGGAATGAGAGCAAGAATTGCTTGCTGCTCTTTACTGTATAGAAAGGTTAGTTCATAGGCGATCATGAAAAAGATGTTATTGTAATTTTAATATATTTTTGAGTACGTAACAATTTCTATTTATTTAATTGCAGATATTGAAACTCAATCATTCTGGTCTGGGTAAAACCGAGTCGGGACAGGTAATAAATTTAATGTCAAACGATGTTAACCGTTTTGACTTAGCAGCTCCACAGTTGCACTATATATGGGTTACGCCGATCGTGGTACCCCTTGTATCGTATCACTTGTGGCAGCACGTTGGCCTGGCGACACTAGCAGCGCTTGCCGTTGTATTTCTGCAGACTGTTGTTGTTCAAGGTATGACTTCGCTATCATATTACTCATCATTTAAATCTAGACACGGGCTATTTGCTTGATATGCCACAACAACTGTGCTCAGCACAGAATAAGTCTAGCATAACTTTAGGCAAGATAGCGGTGGCTTCTTTGCATTTTAATGTCTGGTCTACCTCGTATACAGTTATATTGTATATAATAATAAATAATTACCTTGACCTCGACCAAAAATGAAGTAGTAATATATGGACATGTCGTGTTATATACAATACACCAGATGACTGGAGACTAGATGTAGACCTTTCATTTCCGGGACAATTCTAGAGTGACGGGATCAGGCCGTAGTAGTGGAACATAAAATAAAAATATATGAAAATAAATAGTTATTTAATTAAACCTCAATAATGTTTTACAGTCCGTACGCATAAAGAATCGAAATAGAAATGGCGGTTCACCGAGCCGTACCGTCAACATGAACAGTACCAATAGCGAAAACCCACTAATAACGGATAATCGTTATAACGTTATATCGGTAATAACGTTATGTTATTCGGTTAATTAGAAATTTTCTTTCAATACACACGCAAGTAGACATACGCAAGTAGACACATTAATTTTAAAATAACATTTATAACTAGCGACCCGCTCTATCTTCGCCTGGGTGGGACCTATTAATGTGGCTTTATTTAGACTGAAGGTAATCATTAAAGAGCATTATTTTCATCGTATCAATATTTCTATTTTAATAAAATGTCGAAATATGGTCTAGATCATTCCTGGTATTACTGTCCGTTTGTTCTAAAAGTTTTACCATAATCGGTTCAGCCATTCCGAATATTAGTTGGCGCAGACAGAAACGAAAATATTGAAAATGGTTACTCATTTCTTAATAGCATGTAATTTTTATGCAAAAATATTAACAAACAAAATCAACAATAATTATGAAGAAAACTGTCAGGACGCATCTAGCTCAATAATTTCAGAAACTAGCCTGATTTTTTTTAACTTTGTTGAAATCCAAACTTAAGATTGGTAAAAATTACATTGTTTAATCCCTTAGGTAATAATCGACACGTGTTGCGTTGTATTATCACAGAATAAATAATATTCCTACATACAGAAGTTGCACTCCTTTGATGTTGACTGCTTGCCGATGTTTAACAGCCTAGGTAATCAGTTGTGTCAGACTATATGTCTGACACAACTGATTACCTCGCCTACGTGCATCCCAGATGTGGAAGATACATGTACCTTCCTTGTTGGACCTTCTGCTGACCTCTCATCCGGACGGATATTAGGTCTCCATCGATGCCCCTCTTGGCTCCTCGGACCATTGTCTGATCCGGAGTACGGTCTCACGCTCTCATCGCGGTTGCGTACTGCAGGTTGCCGCCGTGTTTGGCATTATAAGTCAGCAGACTGGGACGTGATGCCATTTTTTTTCATCCCACCCTTGGGGGCCGGTTTGCTTCTCGCCGGATGATTCCAGCGTTGTTGCTGATTCTGTCGCTGATGTGGTACTACATGGAATGGAACTTTTTATTCCATTATCTGTGGTACCTATCGGAGGCAGAACCCAGCCTTGGTTTGGTCGCTCCTGCAAAATTGCACTACGTCATAAGCTGGAGCGCTACCAGGCCTGGGCTCGCGCATCGATGTCTCGGGATGCAAATACCAGCGCCCTTAAAAAGAAGTACAATTCTGCCTCTAAGCCCTTCAAAAGTGTCATTGTCAAGGTAAAGTTAGAGCACATCGGCAGAATTGGCGAGAAACTAGGTCATCTTCCTTCGGGAACACGTGCATTCTGATCTCTCGACAAGGCTATCCAAAGGAACCTCTGTCAGGACAGGAGGGACAGGACAGACAGAGGTTCCTTGCTACTGGCCTATGCCGCAAAGGACAAAGCCGATCTACTGGGCTCTCTCTTGGCGTCCAACTCGACTCTTGATAACGGGGGGAATACACCGCAGACTATCCCGCGTGGTGAGAGCTCCATGCAGGATGTCCTGTTTACCCAACGCTCAGTGCGCAGAGCACTCCTCTCCCTGGACTTCAACGAGTGGAGTGGGCCGGATGGCATCCCTCCTATTGCGCTGCTACGTATGCGTATGCTCCGGAGTTGACACCGGTTTTAACGCGTCTTTTTCGGTACTCCTACTCCTTCGGCGTAGTCCCGAAATCATGGAAGACAACCCTCGTGCACTCGATCTCTAAAAAAGGTAACCTGGCTCTGATCCGTCTAACTATATGCCTATCGCCATCACCTCTTTGTTCTCTAAAATAATGGAATCCATTATTAACAGCCAGCTCATGCGGTACCTTGAAGATCACCAGCTAATTAGTGACTACCAGTACGGTTTCCGTCGCGGTCGCTCAGCTGATGGTCTTCTGGGTTACCTAACTCATAAATGGGCGGAAGCAGTAGAGTCCAAGGGGGGAGACGTTGGCCGTTAGTTTGGTCCTAGCGAAGGCCTTCGATCGGGTTTAGCATAAAGCACTTCTTACGAAGCTTCCTTCCTATGGGCTTCCCGAGAAATTGTGCAATTGGAACACCAGTTTTCTTGCCGATCGGAGCATCAAGGTCGTAGTAGACGATGCATGTTCCGATTATAAGCTCATTAACGCTGGTGTCCCACAAGGCTGCGTGCTATCACCAACGCTGTTTCTTCTGCATATCAATGACACGTTGAAAACGGTAACATTCATTGCTATGCAGACGACAACACTGGTGATGCTTTATACACTGTAAAGTAAAGTAAAGTTACATCCTATATACGTCTCACTGTTTGAGACAGGCCTCCCCTTATATCTGAGAGGATTTTTAGGGCAAGGAAGTGTCCGCCACGCTGCCCCAATGCGTGTTGGCGTACTTCACATGTCTTCGAAATATTTTTTTTCTTATTCCTCAGACATGCAGGTTTCCTCACGATATTTTTCTTTACCGCCGAGCACATGGTAAATCAGCACTTAAAATTGCAATTAACAATTTCACTGGTGCCGGCGGGGTTCAAACCCGGGTTACTCGCGTTCTGTTATATTTATAGCGAGCGTTAATCATCTGAGCTACCACGGCTATATAAACTGGCCGTGCCAATATTTCTCGCGAAAACGTCGCAGAGTACCGGGACAAACTTGTGTCTGAAGTCGAGTCTTTGCTGAACAAAGTCTCGGACTGGGGGCAACTTAATCTAGTCGAGTTCAATCCCCACAAGACACAAGTTTGCACGTTTACCACTAAAATTAACCCCTTCGTCATATCTCCTCAGTTTAAAGACTCAGCCAGTATCGGAATCCTCGGCGTCGATATATCGCGTGACGTGCAGTTTCGTGGGCCCTCGGAAGAGAATGTCAAATTGACCTCTAAAAAGCTTGGCGTCTCATCGCCCGCAACTTTACAAGGCGCAGGTTCGACCGCACATGGAATACTGTTTCCATCTCTGGGCCGGCGCTCCCCAGTGCCAGCTTCTTTCATTTGATCGCATTCAGCGCAGATCTGTTCGAATCGTCGGTGACCGAGCCCTTTCCGATCGGCTTGACTCACTGGCACTGCAAAAAGATGTTGCATCTCTTTGCGTATTTTATCGCATCTACCACGGAGAGTGCTCTGAGGAACTGTTTGGACTAATTCCAGCCGCAAAATTTTACTATCGCACATCGCGAAATAATTCACGATATCATCCATACCATCTGGATGACCGGCGGTCTCCCACAGTGCGATTTAAAAGAAATTTGTTCCTCGCACAACTTCCTTATGGAATAGACTAGCACCAGAGATTTTTCCGGACCGATACGACTTAGGGACCCTCAATAAAAGAGCCTACTCCTTTTTAAAAGTCCGGCAACGCATCTGCAATTCCCCTGATGTTTCAGTTGCTCATGGGCGGCGGTAATCACTTACCATCAAGTAAACCGTATGCTCGTTTGCCCCCTCTCTTATAAAAAAAAAAACTAATTATAAAGGTTGTTATAATATAAATGAAAACATGGTTGATAATAACCCATGGGAATGAGGTGGTCGCTTCCAAGCTGTTTCTATATTGTGACCAATGAGATTGTAATATTATTAAAAAAAAAGTACAGCTGGGTTTTTTGCTGGTTCTTCCCAGTACATGGTTTTTTTCGAACTAGTGGTAAAGTAAAAAATGACTTTCAATAAGAATTACAACATGTAATCTATATTGAATAAAAGTTACTCTATTCTATTCTATCCACGCAAACATTATAGTTCGAACGACGTTTTGCCATTAGAATTTATTAAATAGGTAATATACATAATATACTATATAATTTTTAAATTTTTCACAATTTTTCAACAATTTTATCCTACTATCAAATAGCTATTCTAAACACTAAACAAAAACTATTTCAACAAGTATTTACAAAACTTTTTACGTAAAAAGCGTAAAAAACTTTGACATTCAATCGCCTACAACGCGCTAGCCCCCACTGCGTATGTTACCCTGGGTGACTCGCGATTGTAGGTAATTATTTCACGCGGGTAGTAAGAGTGACAGAGGTCTGGTATTATCGACAGTTGAGTGTTTTTCCTAGTGTAGTGGTGTTGGGAGTAGTGCAACTTACTGGGATTAGTGGTGATGGGGATAGTGCACGCAATTGTGGGAGGGCGGGAGTCGGCTTCGAGCTAGGTAAGACACATAATTTTATTTCAGCAAAGTAATTTTTACCAACTTTAATATTCGCCAGTTAATATGAAACATAAATAACCTTAAAATAAAAATTGAACACCTCCTTAAGGCTGTTTCATTAAGTATACTTTGGTAGGATATCTCGTAACAAAAATAAAAAAACCTCGCTTTGGATTATAAAACTCTTATCAGACTATTTTTTTAGAATATATATCACTGGATTTTGTCGTTTTTATTAGTTTTTCTCCGTCATGGCTTTACAAAACTGATAAAATTACCAGCAACACTAGTTATAATTTTAACTTTGTGGGGAAAAAAAACTTGTAGATATCCGGAATCTGGACAGGAAAGTCTAATTACTGGACATGGGATAAGACTAAAAATTCTGGGATATTCCAAGATTTCTCGACCCTTTTAGAAAGCTTAGACATGACGTAGTTACTTCAAAAACACGTGAAACTTCCATGCGATATTCAAACTGTATTTGCATAAATAGTATATATATGTTTTACCTCATACTTTGATAATTAACATAATCAAAATTCTTAAGCTAATTATATACGAGTACTTTTTTTGTTGTTGTAAGGACGTTTGGTAAGCGGGCTAACAAGATACTCGTAGTTAGGCGACAGGCACCGGTCAGGGCAATAAGTGTATGTACGATTCGAAGCCGACGATTAGATACATTTCAGGAACACTTCAAGGAAATTTATGGAATCAGGCGCTACTTTGCTGAAATCCATTTTATTGAAGAGAGATCTGCGAGTATAGCCAACAGTTTGAGGGTAGGACATTTGTTAAAAGACAACGTCCGAAGATGTTATGACAATGCATGACACAAAATGATTTGGAATGTATAGGAACATTTTTGATTTTCGAAATGTAATCTGCTTATACTCGCAGATCCTTCTCAGATCAGCAGATTGGTTTTTCAAAATCAGCAATTAAATAAAAAGAAATAAAGGTCGTTTGCAATTTTTGGTACTCATTTCAACCTCAAAGTGTTCGTCGATTTGCAGTTTGACATAAGTTTATGTCTTAAAAAATAGGTGATACTAGTAGATAGATATTATTTCGCTAAACATTTGGCAGTGGTGTATTATTCCAAATGCAGCGGTGTTGGTCCTAGTTATGTTGGGGTTAGTGATGACGATAATAGTGCATGCAATTGATTGGTAACAGTGAACCGCACCACACATCCAGCATAGCGCAATTATAATCCGATAATAACTTTAAACATACTTTGAAAGAATCAATCAGCACGTCACTTGCGTCGAACTTTATAGTACTCAACTACTGTTTAGTACTGTGGGATTTCAAAGTTCTCTTCTCACTTCTGTTTATTTTTTTTATTTTCTACTGACATATATACGAGGGAACATAACATTCTATTTCGGGTCATCATGAAAATCAGCTTTATCGAAATTGAAATTCTTATACTAAAGATATTAATAGTTATACTTTGCAACTTTTAATAACTTTTCTATTATTTATCTGAGATAAGAGCCGTGGTAGCTCAGTGGTTAACGCTCGCTGTAAATGTAACAGAACGCGAGTAACCCGGGTTCGATCCCCGCCGGCACCAATGAAATTGTTAATTGCAATTTTAAGTGCTGATTTACCACGTGCTCGGCGGTGAAGGAAAACATCGTGAGGAAACCTGCATGTCTGAGGAATAAGAAAAAAAATATTTCGAAGACATGTGAAGTTCGTCAACACGCATTTGGGCAGCGCGGCGGACACTTCCTTGCCCTAAACCCTCTCAGAAATGAGGGGAGGCCTGAGCCCAGCAGTGGGACGTATATAGGCTGTAATTTTACTTTACTTTAACTTTATCTGAGATTCTTATATTTTGGGAGGCACAAAGAACCCGTGAAAATTGACCTTGGGTCAGGAATGAGTTATATCATGTGCAAATTTAATGGAACAAGAACATTAGGCCAACGAAATTCCCCTGATCATGATTGATTATTACCCATTATTTTAAAAGTTTTAGATTATGTGCTCTGATTAAAATTGATACTGTCAAAGTTATCCTGGTTTTTATTCATATTTTCGACTTCCGTAAAATTTAAAGTTCCAAGTAGGCAATCATACGAGTATTATGTAGTTTTTCAAGATATAACCAATTGTTTTAGTAGAATAGTACCTATTTTATTACAATGAATCTTTAACTTACGTGATTTCTTATAAACCATAAGGGTGACAAACAACGGAACAGATGACTATACTTTGTTCACTTAATGGTAAGTGGATGGTGGTGGTGGCCCATACACAATACATTTATCCTAAATTAAGAATCAAAATGCAGATGTGTTGTCACCACTGAGGATTAAGATGGAATGCCTCGTTTCCAGTAAAAAGGGTCTCCGGTTCTCTACACTCATCATACGAAACACAGCAGCATTATGCTGCTGTTTTACGCTGGTGTTCTGTGATCCTCGTAAATCCACTCAAAAACAGTGAAAACAACCACACTTTTCAGTACAAAGTGACGGATGATATATGTTAGACAGTTTCGGAACTGATGTTCCATTTAAAATTCGTTGTATAAACTTTTTAAGGTGTCGTTATTATGGTTTTCTTTGTACATAATGTTGTTATAAATAATTCTATATAAAATAAGTTTAATTGCTTTTTAAACTTATCCTAACGATGACGTCACTGTGTGGGCTGATGAGCAAACATCAAGCATCAGAAAATTATATTAAGCTCATAAATTGACATTTGACATATTACACATAATACAAACACTGTTTTCGCGTATTATATTACGATTGATGAATTCGATGAACATACATCAGTGCTAAAGTATGGTTGTAATGTAGTAGACCCATATTTTCTTAATTACGCAAATTGCATTTCGTGCTGGCTAATAAAATTATTCTATTCATGCATTTTGCATTTTGAACATTATTGTTCACAAGTAAGGTACGGTATTCGATTGGCTTTGCGAAAGTGTTCATGATCTAAGAAATGTGTCGAGTCTTGGTTGGTTTCAATGGAAAAATAAAATAAGTTTGTTGTTTTAATAATATTTTTCATAATTTAGATATGATCTTGTTTTTTATGAAAGTGGACAACTTTACATATATTGAAGTACTCCAGACTGATTACCTTCCTCAGTCGTGTCTACGGGTTGTTTTCGAGAGTTATTATGAATCGTCTCGCATGCAGTCTTGATGTCTTCCAGCCTCCCGAATAAGGCAGTTTTCAAAAAAAACTTGACCAAATTATACATATGATAGAAGAGCCCTATTAGCCACTTTATTTTACGCATGTAGACTATGATAAAGCCTTTGATTCCGTCGGGCTATTTGTCCGGCTAATAAACCTAACTTTGATCGAGAGGTCAATCGACGACGACGACGACGACGATCTAGCTCGACTGGTCACTGTTCGAGATATACGATACATCTTCGCGTCGGTTACATCTACCGTTTAATTTGAAAAAAGTGTGCAACCAGTGCGTGTTTTCAGTGATGACATATGGATCTGCGACGTTGTACCTTTCTTCTATGAGGAAGCTCAACGTCACTCAGTGTGCTATGGAGAGAAAACTAGAATTGAGGATATTCTCAGTCAACCAGAGTTATCGACGTAGTCCAATAGATCAGTATATTGATGACCTGGTCATTCATGCAGAAAATCTAGATGGTGCTTCGTACTATTCTTGGAGGAGGCCTGCGTTGCGTTCAGAAGTTTATATTCATAGTGTATTTGTATAATATATGAAATTCTTTATCTGGAGTTTTTAGTTTCTGTGGATTCAATTCGAATCTCATTTTAAAACTTGTGTTAAAATAATATATCAATAATAAATTATCTTTTCAGCATACTTAAGTAACCTTCAAGGCAAATTCAGAGGCAAGATTGCTAAACGAACTGATGAAAGAGTTAAAGTGATGAGCGAACTCGTGAACGGAGTTCAAATCATAAAGATGTACGCTTGGGAGAAACCCTTTGAGAAGTTGGTGGATAAACTAAGAAGGTATGTGCAGTCTAAATATAAATTATTTTAAGAATTGAACCGTTTATACAAAATAATTGAATAAGATTAAATCTTTCAAAAAAATTTTGTTGCAAAAGTATTATATAAGGTACCTAACCTACCTTTTACGGAAAATGAGTTATTAAACAATATGTATTATTAAATTAAAATAAGCTGCGGACATTTCTATGAAATATAAGTTATTTGTACTTTAGCACATTTAAAATTATGGATAATTGTAAGTTAACCCGACAAGGTGAATCTAGTAAACAACGTCATTGGGCATAAAGACGTGGCCGAAACAACCAACTCTACCTGCTCTATACTCCGCACCGAAATATTGCCACAAAGTAAATAATCGTCGCTGCGCCTGATAAGTTCCATTAATATTTGTAAGGTTTAGGGAAACAACAAAAAACGAGTTATTGATTAAACAAACGGAAACACTGCAAAATTACTAATGCAATATGATATACCTACATTTATTTGAGACGTAATAGAAATACAAAATTTTCCACAAATATTAGATATTTAAGGAGCTAGAATTTTTTTAAGTCAATAAGTGCACATAACTGGTTTAGAGCCGTCTAAAACATTTACGTTTGTGCGTTATTGCACATGAAGGATTTGGCAATGTGACACTTTTTGTTATAAAGTTTATCATTGTGGGACTTTAGGTTTTCTCAGATTACAAAATACCATTAAATTATTAGAAATTACTAGAACTATAAAACTATCATACAATACACAGATAGATCTTTGATAGAATTTGATTTAATAGTTTTCGAAACAGTGTTTGGTTGTGGAGAGGCTACTAAAAACGATGCTTATATGGACTGCAGTATTATTACAAAGGTTTGTCCCGTTGACGAATAGGTATCACTGTCAGAAATCATTTCTTATTCAACCCTATGATGCATGTGCTCCTGTACGTCCAGTTCAAGTACGTCATCCCACAGCCTCGTGGTTGACTAAAGATCTTAAAAGATTGATAGGCAGGAAGAATGACGCACTTACTCAACTTTCCTCGTTTCCCACTCCTGATTTTACTCCATTTGTATTTAGGCAATTGGATTGTTATGTTAGGAGACACATACTCTCTATCCATTCGACGTTATTGGAAATGATGGCGTCAATCGTAAAATGATTATTTCCTAGTTACACTTTTTAGCACTTATTACGTTGGAAATGATGACGTCAGTTGTAAAGTTGTAAAATGATCACTCCCTTGCGAGACTTTTTAACACTTATTATAACTTATATCTTAAAGTTTTCCATATCCTCATCTTCTTCCTCTTCCCAATGGAGGACACCCAAATCATACTTTTACAATAAAGGAAAATCCTTCAAAATTTTTCTGAATATCACCCTATTTCGATTCTTCCTTTCCTTTCCAAAGTTCTAGAACGCCTTGTCTCACAACATATTAAAACCTTTTGTTTAAGAAATAGCATTCTAAATCCTCACCAATCTGGCTTAAGATCTGGTCATAGTATACGCCTACAGCGTTATTAAAATTACTCAGTATTAGTGCTGCTGGATTATAGCAGTGCTTTCAATACTGTTGATAATGATATCCTATATAGATAATGCTTACTCCTAACATATCTCTAACTGCAACTTCATGGTTTCATAGTTTTTTTGTATTGACGCCGGAAAAGAATTCGTGTACAAGATACACTTTCTTCGTGGCTTGATACTGCAGCTGGCGTTCGTAAGGCTGCCTGTTAACTTCTCTTTTATAGGTGATCTTTATTAATACGGTCTTTTTATAGAATAAGGGTGACAAACAAACACACAGTCCACTTGATGATAAGTGGATGCTGCGGCCCATTGACATCTATATTTATCTTTGATTAAGAATCAAAATGCAGATGCGCTACCACCCCTGACGACTAAGATGGAATGACTCGTTTCCAGTAAAAAATGTCTCGAGTTCTCTACACTTACCATACAAAACATAGCTGCATTAAGTTGCCATTTTATGCTGGTATTCTGTATTGTGTGGTTCTGCCCCGGTCAAGTCGACCAATTCGTGCTACGACCACAATGTAGCTGCAACGTGGCTCTGTAGTCAAAAATTGAGATATTTTTTGGATTCTTGATTTCCTGATCTTTCTTGGACTCCCCAAATTAATGCAGTGAGCCGTAAAAAATTTGCAGCATTTGTTTCACTCCAGAGACTTTAGTACTTTTTACCCTTTTCCACTAAAATTACGCTTGCGTAAACTTTACTACTCCATATCCTTGGCTATGCTAACATTTGTTACCTTGATATTACCGAGGAGCAACTTAACAAGCTTTCTGTATACGGTTCGTATTTGGGCTTCGTAAATATGACAATATCTTGTAATACTGCACTAAACTCAAGTGGCTCCCAGTCCGCCTTCGTAGAACACTCATATTTTTTTCTACTCTCTGTCCTTTGAGTAACACTTTGTAACTTCTTGTCCCATTCAATCAAAAGTGCATAATCCTCACATGTGTTCAAAAAACAAGTTAAGGAACACTATTTGCCTCTCTTACCACTCTCTCTCTTCCTCCATTAATTTGTGGTCATTGATCTAGCTAGTTTTTTTAGTGCATTATTTGGTGTCGTTTCTTATTTTAATACACCTTACCCGTTAACCTTTCTGTTATTTTATTTTATTATGATAGGCGATAAATTCAGTTTTTTCTATTATATCAATAAGATCAAAAAATATTATTCATGTTTCATCAGTCGGTAATTTGTATCTAAATATAATTTCCAAAACACACGATTTCCAAAAAAAAAAGCTCGGACATCTAGGTACTGAATTAATGATACAAATACGATAATTATACTACGAAATCCGACCCTGGTTACGTCGTGTTATGACGGTTTTATGCACATGCGCTACTTTTTCTTGTATGAAGAAGTTATGAGTAAAATATTTAGATGGGTGTATCCTTCCATTTGAACTCATTGAGTTTACTCCTACTTTCATTAATTACGTTTCGACCGATCGTGAAACTATTGTCGTCATCCGATCACATTTAATCTCATGGCTGTTAGACGGGGAGATGAGGCTGCAATCGTCAACAGATTTGACAGCATACAAGCAACTGAACAGACAGATCTCCAAATTCGTGCGGCGAGACTTACGCAACTTTAATACTTCTCGTATTAAAGAAGCGATCGAGCGGAACCAGGGCTCCAAAGTCTTTGCCAGAGATCTGTCTGTCAGAAAGAGCCAACTGTCAAAGCTGAAGACTGACTAGGTGTCCCGGAAACGATGTTGCCACACGGCAACATCGTTTCCGGGACACCTGACATTTTGAGTGAGATTGAGAGGTTCTATGGGCAGCTGTACACATCATCGTTGGAGCCACACGCAAGTGTGAGTAACGATCCAAGAGCAAGTCTTATCCGACACTATTCCGATGATATCCCGGACGTCAGTCTGAGCGAGATTAGAATGGCTCTCCACCACCTTAAAAACGGCAAGGCCCCGGGCGAGGATGGAATTACAGCGGAGCTTCTGAAAGCGGGTGGAAAACCGGTACTTGAAGTCCTTCGGAAGCTCTTCAATTCCGTCCTCCATGGTGGCACTACTCCGGAGGCGTGGAGCAGAAGCGCGGTGGTTTTGTTCTTTAAGAAAGACGACAACGCTCTCTTGAAGAACTACAGACCGATTTCCCTTCTGAGCCGCGTCTACATGCTATTTTCGAGAGTCATTACGAATCGTCTCGCACGCAGACTCGACGACTTCCAGCCTCCCGAACAAGCCGGTTTCCGAAAAGGCTTCAGTACCATAGACCACATACATACCCTGCGGCAGATTGTACAGAAGACCGAAGAGTACAATCTGCCACTTTGCCTGGCATATGTGGACTATGAGAAAGCCTTTGATTCCGTCGAAATTTTGGCGGTGCTACAGTCCCTTCAGCGGTGCCAAGTTGACTGTCGGTACATCGAAGTGCTGAAGTGTTTGTACAGTAGGGCTACGATGGCTATCCGAGTACAGAACCAGAGTTCGAAACCTATCCAACTGCAGAGAGGTGTAAGACAGGGTGATGTTATATCCCCGAAACTCTTCACCGCTGCGTTGGAAGACGTTTTCAAGCTACTGGACTGGAAAGGATACGGTATTAACATCAATGGCGAGTACATCACTCACCTTCGATTTGCCGACGATATAGTCATTATGGCAGAATCGCTGGAGGACTTAAGCATTATGCTCAATGACCTCAATAGTGCCTCCCAACGGATAGGTCTTAAGATGAACATGGACAAAACAAAGATCATGTTTAATGTCCATGTCACACCTATGCCGGTAGTTGTTGGGAGCACTATGCTCGAAGTTGTTGACGAGTACGTTTACCTGGGACAAATAGTCCGACTAGGTAAGTCCAACTTCGACCGAGAGGTCAATCGACGGATTCAACTCGGCTGGGCAGCGTTCGGGAAATTACGACATATCTTTTCGTCAGGTATACCTCAATCTCTAAAAACTAGATTGTACAACCAGTGCGTGTTGCCAGTGATGACTTACGGATCTGAGACGTGGTCCTTCACTGCTGGCCGTATGAGGACGCTTAAGGTCGCTCAGCGAGCTATGGAGAGGGCTATGCTTGGAGTTTCTCTGCGTGATAGACTCAGAAATGAGGATATCCGCAGTAAAACCAGAGTTACCGACATAGCCCAACGGATTAGTAAGCTGAAGTGGCAATGGGCCGGCCATATAGCTCGAAGAACCGATAACCGATGGGGAAGAAAGGTTCTCGAGTGGCAGCCTCGTACCGGTAGGCGTAGTGTAGGGCGACCCCCCACTAGATGGAGTGACGACCTGGTAAGACATGCAGGAAGTCGATGGATGCAGGTGGCTCAGGACCGTGCTTTGTGGCATTACTTGGGGGAGGCCTATGTTCAGCAGTGGACTTGTGAAGGGCTGTAATGATGATGATGATGATGATCACATTTACCATTACCACTATCATTATTGTCTCCCATTGTGGAGATGTACCTATGTATGTAG